CTGTTTCCTCTTGCGATAATCGTTTTTTGGCAACAATTTCAGAAATAAGCACTTATGTAAGAATGCACATTACAATCTCATGCTAATACTTATCTCTACGTAATGTACTTGTTTGTTTGTTTGTTTATTTTTTTTTTTTTTTTTTGTATTTCCTGTACTAATTAATTACGTACGCAAATCATATTATTTTAATCAAAGCAAATAATCAAATGAGATAATTAATTAAAAAATCTCAACCAGATTACTATGCTACCACTGAATAAAATGTGAACACTTAAAACAAGAGTGAAGTAAGACAAAAAGATGAGTTTACTGACTTACATTCGATCTAATTACCATGAATTGCGATTATTAATAAAATTAGTTATTCGTGTATTTTTATTATATTTTACCTTTTTATATTTTCATTAAAAAATCCATGTCAGTAAATCCAATACCTATAAAAAATGGACTTAAATTTCCTCTTTGCTATTATTGGAAGAGAAATAAATCCATTTCTAGCTTTAAAAAAATCATTATTTTTTACGATTTTAATAATTATAATTGCATTTAAAAGATTAACCATATTATTACCAAATATCGCCTAATTGCTTAATCTTAGCCAATATTTTTATCCTCATTTAAATGCTAGCCCCTGAATATCTCGATACATGAAACAATGGATTTATTCCACTTTCAAAAACTAAGTCTCATTACATATTTGTACTTAAGTAATTAAAAGTTTTAAAATATTCTAGTTTAATTTCAAAATAGAAAAAAATTTTAAAACTTGTATTAAGAATAATATATATATTTATTTATTTTTATAATTTTCTAAGTGTAAGTGGTTATTGATACAACCGAAAAAATGGACTTAAATTTCCTCCTGTTTTTTTACCTTATTAAATGCTATTATTGGAAGAGAAATAAATCCATTTCGAGCTTTACAAAATCATTATTTTTACGATTTTAATAATTATAATTGCATTTAAAAGTTTCACCATATTATTACCAAATATCGCCCAATTGCTTAATCTTAGCCAATATTTTTATCTTCATTCAAATGCTAACCCCTGAATATCTCGATACATGAAACAATGGATTTAAAAACTTGTCTAAAACTAAAAAACTTTCAAAAACTAAGTCTCATTACATAGTTGTACTTAAATAATTAAAAGTTTTAAAATATTCTTGTTTAATTTCAAAATAGAAAAAAAAATTTAAAAACTTGTATTAAGATTAATATATATATTTATTTATTTTTATAATTTTCTAAGTGTAAGTGGTTATTGATACAACCATTTATGTTATAATCACTTTATATTTATAACTTTTTAAACACTTATGTTACTGTCAATTTTTTTTCTCAACGACCATATAATTAACTTTGCATATTTTTATGTTCTGGAATTGAATGTTATTAAATTTAAATGTTCTTTTTTCTTTTTTTTTTATTTAGAAATTATCAGTTTTTTAGTCTTACCCCTGTATTCGAAGGCGTCACCTGAAATAATGCTTTTTGGCAAATAATACACTATTTTTATAACTGTCGTGACGTTGTTATAGCTATTTATGACTATTTAGAATAGAGGAATATTCTATAGAAAGCTCTGGCCCACAAAGGGCTGTTGAGTCAATAAACAAGGAGAGGAAGAAAAAGATCTCGCCAGATAGGCGAATTTTAGAAATAGTTGATATTTTTTTAATTATATAAGCAATTTGTCCCATCTAAATTCAAGAAAATTCTTTACAACAAAATGATATTTACAACTATATGCTTACTATAAACTATCATACCATAACTATTATATATAACTATATATAAGCGATTAAACTATATATACCATTGTATCAAATTTTAGACGATTAAGTTGTGCCTCTTTTTACTTTTCTTAGCAAAATAACTTCAAAAAACATCCGTAAAGTTTGAACAATTTATGTTCAAAATTTAAAAATTGTGTGACAAATTTCTCATTTTCTAAAATAAATATTGCTTTCATTATCTTCTTTAAATTTACATTTTTAAATATTTCTGCAAATTTTCTAATTATTTATTTTTGAATTATTCGTTTAAATGCTAATAAATACCCTAAAATCAATTAAAAAATCTTCAAAAAGACGTAAACTTTTATTGGAGTAGAAATTTGGAAAATTTTAATTTTCTCTTAAATTAAAGAATTTTCAATGAGATTCCTTAAAAATTAAAAAGCATACTAAAATAATTTAAATTTTTTCTCATAATTTTTATTTATTTTCAAAACAACATTTATATTCCTTTCAAATAAAGGAAGAAGATTTTAACATTCATTTAATAATTTTTAGTTATTTAATAATAAAGCATTAATTTGTTTGATACCAAAATTTTCAACTCACATTGGAAGGAAGACTCATTTTTCTTTAAACCCTAGTGCTGCCATCTAGTTTTTCTTTACATAAAAATTATCTATTCTCTGTTCGAATGCAATTTCAAGAAAGTATTTTAATTACTATGAAAAAAAACAATGCTTAATTATATTTTAGAAAATTGAATTATGAATTGAAGTTACTTTAATTAGCATTTTTGTCTGAACTTAAATATATTTGTAATATTGTTAAAAATATTATATATTTTAAATATAAAAATTAATCTTACGTTCTTTTGATTCTAACAAATCTTTATATTAATAATCTTTCCATGATTAATTTTAATATTAATAATCTTTCATCCTCTTGATACTATACAAAACTTCTTGTGCAGTAAGCACAGAAATCAATCTTTTTATCTAATTGCCAATACTTTATGACACGTTAGTGAATTTCTAATTTCAATTAACTATTATTTGTGAAGGTTGAACAATTTTTAAGTTTAAGAATTTATACTTGAAAAAAAATTATTTGAGTTACTTGAATGCTTAAAAAGTATTCAAGTATTTCATAGGATGTTTCTATGCCGAAACATATCGTAGGGGAATTTTTAAATATGGACAAAGCTCGAAATACGTTTTTACGAAAATGGAAATCGCATTTAATTCTGTTTTTCAAACATTTTTTATTAATATATTTTCTCTTTTTTAAAGAATAAATTAATGAATTCAAATAAATTCATGATATAATATCGTCCATTAGAATAAATGACTTAGCACATTTTGTTAAATTAACCTTTTTTTAAAAAAATTTTAAAAAAAGACTTTAAAAGTCAACAGTTGTTTTGTCAAGGTTGAGACGTATGCTATAAATTAATAATAGTCGTAGTAAATTTATGATGTAGGAATTTAGAGTCTTATAATTCCCTTTATCGTTTAGAATTCTAAATACTAAGACATCCCATGAAAAGTTACATCAGTAACTAATATGCCTAACCCCTCATTAACCCTGAAATCCGGGACTTAGTCCCGTAATGATTATGCTCAGTGCTTAAATAGGAAAGAAAAAATAAGCACTCAATTCCCTATTTAGTTGTTAAATTTGAATTGAAAACTGATAAGGTGCTACAGCCATTTTCGTAAACACGCATTTTGAACTTCGTCTATTTTCGTAAACACACATTTGGCACTGTGTCCATTTTCGTAAACACGCATTTCGAGCTCTGTCCATTTTCGTAAACACGCATTCCGAGCTCTGTCCATTTTCGTAAACACGCATTTTGAACTTTGTCCAATTTCGTTAACACGTAATTCGAGCTGTGTCCATTTTCGTAAACACGCATTTCGAGCTCTGTCCATTTTCGTAAACACGCATTTCGAACTTTGTCTAGGTTTAAAAACTCGCCAATGATATTTTTTTAAATAGTACACTAAATTAGCACTTTTCATATCATGCCCTTCCACTGACCTCTAACTATTTATATCATATTTTCAGAAACTAATCACGTCTTCCGAGTTAAGTTTAATTTGCTTTTGTGACTTGTTATTTCGAAAACTTACATCAACAATGAAAAATTATTAGTATTTGCTTGTACTGGTATTCAAAAAAATTGCCTAGACAGAAATATATGGTTTGCTGCGTCTGTTAAGGAAGCTAGTTTTATCCCCAACAAATTAATTACGAAAGCTCATCAGTAGCGGACGCTTCTGAGAAAACCTATGAAATAATGTTTTTAAAAATATTATTTGCAACAACAGCGTGGTATAGTCTAAATACAAAATTTACTGAATCATGTGCAAATATTCTAGTTAGAATAATCTGACATGTAGCAAAAAGCCTTGTTATATAGTTTTTCCACATAGCAATGTCATCTATTAACGGTCTTTGTAACATACTTTAAATTTAGGGGGAATAAATTCTCCCGTTTCCAAAGCAGAACGCAGCAAACCTTACATTTCTATCATCTTCTATTTTTCCTAAACTGATGCTTAAAGTCTTCGACTATCATTGGGATGACCAATATTTTTGAAACACCCTGCATGTGCATTTTTGGCAGCTAAACAAAATTATTTGTTCGAAAAACAATTGAAATATAGTAAAATTAACATAATTTATTATTTTATTTAGGAAAACAATCGAAACACAAAATTATAAAAACTAAATATTTTTCTTTTTGAGAAACATTTCAAATGAAATAAAATGAAAATAATTTAGTTTTCATTTAAAAATAGAATTCTAGTAAAATGAAAATAAATTATCATTCATTTTTTTTTAAAAGAACAGTAGAATAATAGTAAAATGAAAATAATTTAGAATTCATTTTGAAAAACAACTAAAATATAGTAAATGAAAATAATTTAATTTTCATTTAAAAACAAACAGAAATATAGTAAAATTAAAATAATGTATTATTCATTTTGAAAATATGTTATAGCATGTGTTCAAAACATAACATATTTTTCCTTTTGAACACATATTATTCATTTTATTTTTTTAAAAATAGTAGAATAATAGTAAAATGAAAATAATTTGGAATTCATTTTGAAAAACAACTAAAATATAGTAAATGAAAGTAATTTAATTTTCTTTTAAAAGCAAACAGAAATTTAATAAAATTAAAATAATATATTTTGAAAAACAATTGAAATATAATAAAATGAAAATTATTTCTTTTTTAGATATCACGACGAAGAACACGCGAACTTATTAAACACTATGTGGTTGACGGCCATTACTTTCCTATCTGTCGGTTACGGCGACATAGTGCCCAACACTTACTGTGGCCGCGGCATCTCTGTCAGTACGGGTCTTATGGTAAGTTCATTTTTAATTTATCAAGAAATGTAATAATAATGTAACTCTTTATTAGTTTGGAAAGCACGGTCGCAAAATTTTTAATTAGAAAATATTACACAAAATATATATAAATATTACATAAAAATAATCACTAAATATTTTTCAAATTTGCACTTTTAATTATTTAAATTTAAGAGAAACAATAATTCATCAATTGAATTTTTTTTAATTTACGATATCAATTATTGATATATTGTTGAATATGAATGAAAAAAATTCAAACTACTTTTTTGGATATTATGTTTTAGTACAAATATAATTCCGACAGACTTTTTTTTTTTTAAGTAAGTAAAAGACTGTTTTTTACCAAAAATACCAAAATATATTTTTACCTGTAATTAGAAAATCGGGAAAAGTATATATAAAGAAGACCTGTAGCTTATTCACAATCTAGCTACCTTCAACATTGTGCTCTTTTTTTTCTTTTTCTTTTTTTTTTGAAATTTTAATCTTGGCCGTAGTTAATCTCAATTATAATAAAATTTCTATTTCTTTTAAAATTTGTCACCTAAACTAACACAATGTCAAAAATCAAGTTTTTTTTTTATTTAAAAAAAAATCCTAAACAAGGGAGCAAGTCGTTAAACACCGCTGGATTGGAAAATCAGAAACTGGTCCCCTCTACGTCAAAGAGTTATGCTTTTTTTGAGTTAACTATATTATAATGCGCTGATAAAGCATATAAAAATAGAATAGAAATGTTGTTATAAATTGTTTCATTACTATGCAGATCACAACTTCAGCTCTATAACAAAATTCAAATAAGTTTATTATTATTATTATATTATTATTATTAAAACCATTATAATTATTATCATTGTAATATTATTATTATAGTTATCATTATTTTAATTATTATTATTATTATAATTATCATTATTTTAATTATTATTATTATTATAATTATTCTTAACAAAATTATAAACAAACAGACAACAAATATTTCAGTTACCTGGAATCAGAGGGTTCATAATATTAACCATAAAAACTGTTAGTAATAAAGTTTATTTTCGTACTGTTACATATTTCCATTTCTTACAACGATAATAAATTACAAATATAATTTTAAAAAATGAAAAGTGAATTTTGTTCATATTGTGATGGTGGTTAAAACTTTGCCTACGAAAACTATTTAAAACTAAAGAATGTTCAAAGTTCTTTTTTTTTTCCTGTTTCAAGGATAACAAAAACTTGGAGAACGGTCCATAACTTCTTGCTCATAAATCATTAAGTGGACGACTACTGTCTGATAAAAGGACCAAAGAAAGAAAAATGGCGGACTTGTCGAACGGGAAAAAATGATAAAATATAAACTGGAGTAAGAAATTGTTCGGAAAGACGAATATTTTGGAAAAAATAAACTCAAAAGCGATTTTAAGCAAAATAATGATGAATGATCCGCTTATCATAACAATATATATTTGGAAAGTTATTTTACGTACGAAGTTTTGCAAAATTATTCTGTTCCTTAAAATCACATTTCTGCCCTTTAAATCAGCTTTCGTTTTTTCTTACTCCAAATGAAATTCGATCTTATAAGTTAGAACATATCTTACATCGTTTCCACAAATAGGGTACCATGATCAAAATTTATTTAACTTTCGTATGGCCCCAAATATAGTTCAAATCAATTCGAGAAAAATAGCGAAACATTTATTGGTAAAACTAAAAAAGAAATAATAAATACGTAGCCAACATCTATATATTTTTGATGTAGAATTTTTATTAAACCTATTTTTGACAGTTTTTTAGTTATTCTCTATTAATTTTGATCAAAATAAGTAAGAAATAATATATTTACAATCTTAATAATTTATGGTTAAAAAAAATTTAAGCTACTTTTTTTGGATTTTATATTTTAGTAAAAATATAATTCCTATGATCTAACAGATTAAAATGTAGAGAGAACATGGAAAAAATTACAGAACAATGAAAAAAAGGGGGAAAGAAAAATAATAATATATATAACAAGAAACTGGCGAAAAAAAATGAAAAAAGGAATAAAAATCTGAAAAATAAAAGATATAATCTTTTCATCATCTCACACGATTATATCCACAAAAAGGAGTGCTTTCTAATATTGTATCAATATAGCCAAAGCAAAATATATCAATACAATAGTGTGAGAAGCACTCAAAAAAAATTTTGCGAAAAAATTACAACAAATAAAATAGAAAAGAACACAATAAGTAAAAATATCATTATTATTGTTTTTCTTAATTTTTTTCGTGCTTTTTTCCTTTTTGTATATATATATATTTATTTATATACTTACAGTAAGCTCATTTTTTTCAGCTTGTGCTTAAACCCAGTTAAACATCAAAATTTGTAATAAACCATAATAATTTTGTCATTTTTTTTTTTAAAAATCACATAACAATATTTTACAAATCGTGCACTTGAAAGAAATATGCATTTACAATTAAATTGGTCCAGCCAATTGGAGTCACTAGAATATATTGAGTTGGCACAAATAATTTAACATATAAATAAGTACAAAGCAGATGCTAAATGTGCGCTAGCAACAATTAATGAAAACATAGATGTTTCACAGGCAAAAGTATTAAAAAACAATCGCTCTTAATCAAATAAAATTTTCTCTCTTCCTGTCTGGATGCGTTGTTTGATAAGCTCATATCTGTAAGGCTCCCTATAATATATGTCAGTTAAGTTAAATGTGGGTGCGCAATCATAGACAAATTGAGAGTATACTCTTTATTTCTCACAATTGCAATCTATTTCACAATAATTGTTGAAAAAATCCCATTTGTTTAACCTGTCTTGTTATATTAATGTATCTTTTTTTCTCTTCCACAACTAAAATGGGTGCAACGTAATAACTTTCCAAAAGCACATTTATTTGAAGAATATTAACTGCCAAATTAAGAGATCTGACTAAAATCTTTTAAAAAGATTTTAGTTAATAAACAGATTCAACTAAACTGTTTAGTGTATTAAACGTTAAAAATACTATTGAAACGGAACATAATTCACAAATCCTTCATACCTAATTCCGAATTTAGGAAATTTCCCTCTTACCAAAAAAAGAAAACGAGAGAAGAGCAGCAAATATTTAACAGGTCGAAGAGAATCATATTGATCATTTTATTTTTTAAGTAGATTAGTTAACA